CAGGGAGACAGCTCAGGGGGCAGGAGTGTATGGAGGGATGGACACTGGGAAGAGGTAACTATGGGGAGGAATTGGGAGGGGAGCTGTTGCATTGTGGTAAACTCTGGTCAATGACATGAGACAAAGTATATGTGAAATGCTGTATGGAAAGTGAATTTGCTCTGCAAATCTTCACCCAAATCACACACACACACACAAGAATAGGCTCTATTTGCCAAGAACAGCAAAGACATATGGGAGGCTGACAACAGGAAAGGAGACAGGTGGTGACTGTATAAGTGCTGCCAACTAGCAAATAGAGGAGCACAGCACAGTACCCTGCTTACATGGATAACGTACAAAGAAAACAAAAATCATGGGCAAATTACTCTAACATACAATCACCAATTGAAATAAACACAAAAATGTCACAATACTTTAGAGACAACAGAGCATCACAGTCCACACAAAGAAGCACGATAAAGCAGGAGAAGCAAGGGATCGGGAAACAGTCCCAAAACAACATCCCTGAGGAAGACGCAACATTGGAACTCTCATAAGGAGTTCAAACTAATTATATTTAGGTACCTTCAACGAATTGAGAGACAGACAGATCAAGGAAAACACTGATAAAATTGAGGAAAACACAAAGAAGACAATAGAACAATTTTGAAAGACAAGAACAAAATGAAAAATTAGATACGATACAAAATCTACATACAGAAATCCAGAAGAATAATACTAAATTTTCAAATTGATAACACATTGACTGGTCAAAGAAGTAGAATTGAATCAATGGAAGACAGAATTAGTGAGATTGAAGGCAAATACCTCAATATTTCTTTGGAAAGGGACCAATCAGAAAAAAGATCAAAAGAAAATGAAGAAAGCCTAAGGTTCATGTGGGATACCATCAAAAGGAATAACCTACCTATCATCGGAATTCTAGAACAGAAAGAGACAAATACACCCACGGAGAAAATTGTCGAAAATTTGTTGGAAGAGAATTTTCCTGGTATGATGAAAGATGAGACTATATCCATTCAAGAAGTCCAATGAACCCCTAACAGGATAGGCCCCAAAAGAAAATCACCAAGACATATCATCATCAAACTCACCAAAACCAAAGACAAAAAATCCTGAAAGTGGCACGGGAAAAACAAAAAGTTACCTACAAGGGGCAACCAATAAGACTAAACTCAGATTTCTTGGCAGTAACCATGTGTGTTAGACTGCGTTCTCCAGAGAAACAAAACCAGTAAATCATATATATAGAGAGAGAGGGGAGCTCTGGTAGCATAGTGGCTAAGACACTTGCCTGCTAACCAGACGGCTGGCGGTTCAAACCC